CGAAGGTCCCGGGCCGGAGGGTCTAAGTCTCCCGGGAACCGAGTGGAGACCTGAGGACCGGAGCGCCCACAAGCTTGTAAATAGCGTGTGCGTGCTCCCCTAACCTGATATGGTCCTCTGCTCCCGCCATATCTGCCTCTCCCACTGACCGTACTGATTCTTCCCTCCTCCTTCACTCCCCTACCCTCTCCCCCCACCTATGTTCAATAGTGATATAATATGAACGTCTTTGGGAATAGCCTTAGGTTTACCAGGTTGATGAGGGAAAATCAGGAGAATCAATATTTCCTCATCTCAAGGAAAAGCCTCTTCAGTAGATTTCTGGATAAAAACTCTGTGACTTACTAAATCTCTTAGTTTTCAAGGAGTAGAAAAAAATTATGCTGAAAACCCAGCAACTGATTTCTTAAAAAAACCATTGCAATGCTGAATGCCTCCTATCAATTTATCATATTTAAATGTTCTTGGATAACCAATATAACTAGCACTGCCAGTTACATTCACTCACCATAACCAAAAGCAATCCCAGGAACAAACATTGCCAGAAAGTGTAATTTTAATGTGGCAGAAAGGGAACATTATTAAATATAACCACGTAAACTACTTTTAACTTTAATCAGAGTTGACGTCTAAGTGAAATAAAATCAAACTGAATTTGTTTATTTTGGTGCCATAAATTATGTGTCCAGGGCCAGTCTACTTTGTGAAGAGCACACACTTTTCCAGGTGCAACACTCATTCTGAAGAAAGGATACTGTGTGCTAGAAAAATGCACTACTGTGAGATGGCCAGTTCTTCATTTTCATTATTTATATTGCATATATTTTAGGGATGCTGGTAAGATTCCATCAAAACTGAAAGGGAAACAAGAAAGAGGAAAAGATCATAAATAGCCTGGAATCAATTGCACCTGTTTAATTACTTATCTTGTTTTTTTTCTTTTAGGTCGCTTCTATTTATTCAGTGGTTCAAAGCAATATGAATTTGAATCTGCAACCAAGAGATTTCTGGGCATAAAGAAGAGCAATAGCTGGCTGGGTTGCCAGTGATACGTCAGGAACAAGAGAAAGGAGCGAAGAACTGTGGAATCCGTTCATCCTAGCTCTTAAGAACTAGCTGATAATGTCAGTTATGGTCATTACTTGGTGTATTCTCTGCTTTTGAGCCATGAAAACACGATAATGGTGTTTTCATAAGGGAGATAATTCAAAACTGAATTTTAATTTAATGTAACTTATTATATAAGATATTATTTGTTAAAATTTATGCTATTAAAATATGTTTCTGAATAAAATCATCTTGATTGTTTTCTTTCTTGGAAAGCCAAGGTATGTGACACTGTCCAGCCACATGGTGCCCCTGGGAAGAAATTTTCATTTGAGAATTGAGTATGTATCTGCCAACTAAGAGTAATGCTCCATTCAAACAGAGAAGGGACTCCTAATTTTGATATCATACCCTTCCCTCCAAAAACCCTGTTATACATTTTGGGTGCCACCAAATTCTATATGATTTTTTATAATCAAAATCATGACTAGGTAATTGATAAGGCAATCAAGTGAAAAATCATTTCCAGCCGGCATTCTAATATCTCAGTCTTTTTTTTTTTCTATTATGTTCCTTTGGATCAGTGTTAACTCCTGGCAAAAGCCTATATTAATCCCTGCAGTTTTCCTGGAAAGATTTTCAAAAGTGGTTTGCCTGAGACTTCCTAGGGCTGAGAAACAATGACTGGCCCACGACGCCCAGCTGGTTTTGTGCCTAAAGTGGGATTAGAACTCCAGTTTCTAGCCTGATGCCTTAACCACTACAGCAAGCTTAATCTAATATTTCATTAGTATTAGCAAAATCATTACTGAGTGACTCAAGGGTTTAAACAAAATTAGAAACTCATTTAAATAATGTCAGATAGCAGCAGGAGATTAGGAACAACTGAATTACATACCCACTTTGTTACATACGTATTATTGCATTTTGACCTTGGACAAAAAAACACAAAGAAAAAAAACCTCCAAAATATCCCAACCGGTTCATGTTTTGAGTATAGAATTATAAAAGAGAAGGAAATCATTTTTGTAAAAGTACAAGGATACCGGTAAGTTCTATAAAGTTTTCACATAGAAGAAGCTTTATGAAGCAATTTTGTACATGCTTGAAAGGGTAAAATTCTGCCACAATTTCCCCTTTACATCCAGAATAATAGACTTAGCTCAGAGAGTACCAAAGACTCCACAGTACAACCATGAACTATATATGCTATCTTCTATTAACATAACAATCAGAGTCTAATTTCTTTTCCTTGGAAAGTAATGATTTTACAGCTGGGACTTCACAACACGGTGAGTAGACAGTGATCTTGTGAAATCTGCAAAGAAATCATTTGCAGCCCCTCACTATTCCAGCCTATCACATTTGTAGCAGTTATGCCATCACTCCATTATATAGCAGATTAATGCTTTCATAAAACTCCATAGCACAACTTCTTATAA